ACAAAAAAAAAAAAAAAAAAAAAAAAAGAGAGAAATTATTAAGAAATATAATAAAAAGATATACTTAGGTAAATTAAAACTTAAAAAAAATATATAATTTTTACTACATATAATTTTGTATATTTTTATTAACAAATTGATATTTTCTCTTTCATTTTGTAACTTTTTGTTTATATATTTATATATATTTTCTAATAATTTTTTTTCATTTTTTCTTAATTCTTTTTCTACATTAATATTTTTAGAAGATTATTATGATTATGCCTAAATTGTTTATACTTAAAAAAAAGACTATAAAATCAAATTATTGATACAAAGGAACAAACCAAAAAAAAAAAAAAAAATAAAATAAATAAAATAAAATAACAAAAAATAAAAATTAATATCTTAAGAAAAAAAAAAAATTAATTAGATCATATAACTTTATCACTTTTAAATATTATTAAATATTTGATAAAAATAAATTAAATGGAGTACAGGTATTATGCGAAAAGTATTTTTTTAAATGAATAAACTCATATAGAAAAATATATACATATATTTTTAAATATTCAAAAATTATTTTAAAATCCATTTATGTATCTTTTTATCTATAATAAAACATATTAAAAATTAAAATATATATAAACAAAAAAAGGTGAAAATATTTTCACTTTTTAACAGTATTTCTATTATAATTTCCTAATAAAAAAAGTAACAATCCTTATAAAACATATTAATTTATCATTATTTTCTTTTTATATTTCTTTTTCCTTTTTTTTTTTTTTTTTTTTTTTATTTATAAATGATAATTCCATGTTAATAAGTAACATTCATTTGAGTTATAACTAAAGATTCATATTCCCATTTTATTATTTTTCTTTTGACTTTACATTTGATAAGAAATAAAAAAAAAGAAAAAAAAAGAAATGTAAATGCATCTACATATATAAAACAAATTAAAACCGGTACGTTTTTCATTTTTAAATTAGCTAAAAATTATATTAAAAAATATAATTTTTTAATAATACCAAAATTTTTGAGTATACATGTTAAAGAAATATTGGTAATATGAATATCTAAACTTTTATTTTATTTATTTTTTTTTTTTATTTGAACATTTGGAATAATAATTATAAAGATTGCACTTAATTTTATGGCTATTTTAATTTGTTGTATACGGTAGATGGATCTTTACCTTTTATAATGTTTTTATTTTGAATAAATCATTTTTTTTTTTTTTTTATATATTATATATCTATCTTAATAAACTTTTGTTTTTTTTTTTTTTTTTTTTTTTTTTTTTTG